ATATCTAAAGCCACAGCTCGAGCTTCGCAGTTATTATCAAGAGCTTAGTATACAAATTCAGATATGGCCGTAAGCATGTCAGCGGTAGATCGGGCAAAGCGGAAACCATATTGTTTGTCAGAGAGTAGATCATGAGGGGCAAGGTGCTTAACCACTTCGGCATTGATTAAAGCCGAGTAGACTTTGCCGAAGATTGGTATGAGACTAAAAGGACGGCAGTTAGATGGGTCAGAAGGGTCTTAAAAACAAGGACAACAGGTAAGAACCTTCAACAGGCTGGAAAGCAAGAGTCGGCGAAACATATAGTTTGGAGAAAACTGGAGCCAACTCAGGAGCACATTTCTTTAGGACTATCCCGTCACCACCATTTGCTTTATGAGAGTCTACTTTAGAGATGATGTCCAATAGCATCGACGGGGTTATGCTCATCTCACACGATAGAGCCACAGTTTTAAGGGGAAATCAGGTGTGGGTACTCCGGACGAATCTAGTGTTGAGTTGGATGAGGATTTCCGAGCAAAGCATTCACCCTTATCAGCTGTGGAAGTTAGGACTTCAAATTGATTGAATATAGGAAGGATTGTGGATTTGCTGTTGTTTAGCACACTCTCCCAGAGCCGCCAATAATCTTTAGAACCAAACTTGCGAGATGCAATACGTTGTTTCATTCTATCAGGAAATAATAACTTTGCTTCAGCGAGGGCACGCTTGCACTTATTACGAGCAGAGGCAAAGAGAAGTCTGTTGCAATTAGATATGTCGCTCCGGTACAGGGGGAAGAAGTGATTCCCATGGATTATAGAAACTGGGAAACCAGCTGAGAATCAAGAAGATAAGCGTGATTTAACTGGGATGAAAGTCACGATGCCAGCTTTTACCCAGGAGGAGACCCCAGAAGCACATTTTTGAACGGAGTGATTAAAAACCACATTCCAAGGTACGTCGCGATGGAAATCACCGAACGAGTTCCAGCCTGGGCGTTCATAACAGAAACATATACTGTTAGTAGGAGGGTCTTGACTGGAGGGGGAGTTGAAGGAGATGTTAATAGACACTACGGCGTGATTAGAGTTGGCAAGGGGGCAGAGCTGCGTATCGCGACAAGAGTCAGGGATGGAGGTAAAACAGAACTCGAGAAGAGAAGCGTGTAGGAAAGTCAACCACTTACATGAGGGATTGAGTGATTGAAAACTTAAGGGTTTGGATGCCAGCGAGGTCAGTTACAGAGTCACATGGTATGGTGGGCGTTAAAGTCACTGTTGTAGAGTAGTTTCACAGTGGAGGCTTGTATTTCACTAAGTCGGTCCTAAAATAGGTTCGACGTTCAAAACGTTAGGAACTTGATATAATAGGTAATGGCGCAGAGAAATCTAGTGATGGTCGCTGATACTTTCGTATCCGACTAACGGTCGTCCGACATCGACTGACTGACCAACTCGATATTTAGTCACCCACCAGGAGGGCATCATGTGGCACAAGGCCGGTTTAACGTCGGATCTCCGAGCCCGTGGGCTCGGCCAAAAATATGCCCATTGAACCCATATAAACTGGTTCAGGGTCGGTTTACCTCCCCGAAAGAGAATCCGCCCTTCGGCGTAGCCTCTTTCGGGTTCCTCCCCGCCCGAAGGCAGAGAGTTTAACCGATCAGCCAGTCGACTGACTGACCAACTCACTGAGCAATTTCGCGACTGCTATTACTTATTATATGTGGGGGAGTCTATTAACTATAGAATAGGTGTATTCCACTATAACAGTCACCGAAAACAAATATGTGTGCAAAAGATGTAGAGAGATGGCCTTGTCTATATTATCGAAAATGCAATCGAGTAAACCACAGTCAAGGAAGGGGAACGACAGATAAAGAAGTGATAGCTTACTGAATTAAGGAGAGAGAGAGAGAGAGAGAGAGAGAGAGAGAGAGAGAGAGAGAGAGAGAGAGAGAGACGGAGACACTTATACGAATGATCTGGAGATTCAAGAGAGAGAGAGAGAGTTCCTTAGCCAGCAGGAGGATTACAAGGAAAGAGTTACATAGGAATTTTGACAAAATCTTTTTAGAAAAAATAGGGACTGCAAAAAAGTACTGTTAAATTATCAGAAAAAAATAAATTAAACCAATGTAAACATAATGTGGTTAATCGATGTGGTTAGACAGAGCAAATATCTATATTAATAAATGTACATATACCTATGTTTTGATGTGCGACTTAAGTTTCGCTGGTTTTCCAGCTCATCAGGCACAGACGTAGGTATATGTATATTTATTACTATATATATAATGAAAATGAAACCCTTTTGTATACGTCTGGCGTTTTTTTTCTTTTTTTTTCTTTCTCTTTCCTTTGACTTTATTTCTTTTCCTCACTATTCCTATATTCCACTTCCTATTTCTTTTACCATATAAATAGGTCAAGGTCAGATTACTCCTCCTACCCCAATTTAAAGCTTATTTAGAGAGATGTAAATTTAACCTCACTATATTTTTGTATTGTCTCTTTAACTGCAACCTTCACCCTCCCTATTTAATTATATAAAATTACACTACCCATCAATTTCTAATCATATTTTTCCTCTCATTTCATTGTTGGAAGTGTTACCTGATGATCCAAAATCCCTTTAAAAAGGATTTTGGTGAAATAAATTATTGTCATGGTACCTTTGAAGTGTCTGTTCATATATATATATATATATATATATATATATATATATATATATATATATATATATATATATATATACAGATAGATAGATAAATACGAACAAATTGGAATTGGTAGTCGAAAACTTAGTATCTACGTGTTTGTGTCTATATATGTTTCAATGTACCCTATTGATTCTATCCTTTTATGTTTGTGTATGTGTTACTTTATGTGTGCATCTCATCCAGTCGACTAGGTTGCATATAGTTTCTTCCATTTTATTCACTACTGGGTGGAGCAGATGTAGCTAGCAATCGGCTTTGATTAGAGTTCTCTCACAGTTCTTACTCCACGTTTGATTTTCTGGCATATTCAAAATTATTTTAATCTGATTTAAAATATTTTAAGTGAATAAAATTTCAAAATACGAGTTATTTATACATTAAGTATTTTTATATCAGCTTTCTTCAAACAAGTAATTTTTTTTAAATGTTGGAATCAACTTCAATATCTTATAACGGTCAGTGACCCAACATGTAGTCTAGTCTAAATAAATAGTCATAACTTGCATTTTTTAACTAGTACATATTGAAGGCAAGAGAGATACGGAAAAACAGAGACACTTATCTAAGGAGCTTGTGTAAATGAATAGTAGAACGTGGGATTGGAGCGTTAACAAAAGGAGGAAAAAATGCTGAAGGCCCAAAAAGGATGGGAAGTTGTGGAGAACCAAGATCGCCTACGTCTTGAAAGTACACGGCGCATGGAAGAAGATTAAATGATTGACTTATTGATTTGTTTGGTTTGTTGTTTAGCACTTTCAACGTTCCCTAACTCTGACTAGGCTGAATATTGCCTAATTTCAGCTATTAAGTGGCAAATTATATCTGTAGGGCATAATTGACTAATCTGACTATAGGATATAATTGGCTAATTTGATTGTAGGATTAATTGGTAAGTTGTATCTGTAGGGCAAATTGGTTAATTCGACTGTAGGGATTAATTGGCAAGATGCGTCCGTAGGTCATAATTGGCAAATTTAACTGTAGGGATTAATTGGCAAATTCTATTTGTAGGGCATAATTGGCGAATTTGTCTGTAGAGATTAATTAGCAAGTTGGATCTATAGGGCATAATAGACAATAGGGCAGAATAGTTGATTTTGACTGTATAGATTAATTGGCAAATTGTATATGTTGGCATGTTTCGCTAATTTGTCTTTATGGATTAATTTCCAATTTGTAACTATAGGGCATAATTGACTAATTTGATTGTAGAGCATATTTGGCTAATTTGAATGTAGGGATTAATCAAATATCCTGGCGATGGAAACTTTTGAAATCATCTACAGCTGTATATAGGAAATAAATGCCACCATTTGGATGATGTCATTGAAAACCCACTCAATGGGAGAGCATCTGAGCGGAAAGAAGTTGCCCGATCTGAATCTATTTGTCACTGGCACCCACTTTCAAAATTAAGTGCTGCGTTCATCAAAACCTCTCAGGCGAATAGAGGCGACCATTTAAAAGGATGCCATTCTAAAAACCAAATGAACAGAAACAGTAACCCTTTGTTTAAACAACAGTAACATATATGTATGTTTTTTTTTATAGCGGTTACCTTGGTCTTTAAGATATGGGAGTTGTTTATGCCGCACCCCGCATAATGGCACCACAGGATATACTTGAATAAATTATTGCACTAGTATTGAGAGGAGACAAGTGAAATCATGACCAAGAAAGCTACCGTTTACGCCTAAAACTCCGCTTTGCCTGTTTTCACTGAAGCAAATTTGTCAATCGCAACGAATCATCACTGAGTTCAAGAAAATGCTGTTAAGAATACTGTTCGACACCAATTGTTTGTTAGTATCGAATAGTATTGAATGTTAGTATTGAATAGTATTGAATGTTAGTATTGAATAGTATTGAATGTTAGTATTGAATGTTGCCAGATGAGTTACACCATAGTGCTTAATTAATAAATATTACACTATAAATTATTTCTTCAGTGGTATTGCGGTACCCGTCTAAGTGGTGCCCATGACATGTGCCCAACTTGACATGCCTTTGATACACCACTATATACTGTGGGAGGAATTTTAATGTAATGTCATCTAAATGGTGAAATTACAGAAAAAATTCTCCATAGTATTAATGAAGCTACGGACTTTTCCTATAATTTAATTTGAAAGAAAATTGTATGTAATTTACAGAATAAAAAAGAAAACAGAATACAAAGTTGTCCAAGATTTCTAACAATCTGAATAAGTAAATTAAAAAAAAAATTATCAATTCATTTATCAAGTTAAAAAAATGTCATTTTCAATATACTGTGTATTTTGAGATGATGTTCTCGATGTACAAGTCACAAGATCCACTCGGTTACAAAGTAATTTAATCCACTCGGGATAGAGGGTTACAAAGTAAGATCCATAAATTTATGGGGATATGTGGGGAAGATAACGGCTTACTCTAGACATGAACAGGTTAAGATTGTACTAATCGGGGAAGCACCCTCTTCCCCATAGCAGCAGTTCGTGGGAAGAAGCTGCTCGAGTGGAACTTAGGTCCCACCAATGGATTAAGAAGGAAATGAGGGTGGTTTGCTACAATGGGCGTGGCATGGCAGGTCTGAGCCGTGAAAGTTAGAACTGGTGGAACTAAAGAGTGTATTTCATCTGAACGCTGTCGATGGAAATAGCGACCGAGCAGTGACAGGATTGCGACATCTCGTCTGTGAGAGAGGGGTTGCATAGTGGAAAATAATTTGAGACACGGATACACTTTTGGACTCTATCGAGATTGGAAAGTGAGGACTGGGCATCTCCTTGCCAAAATATGAACTCAGTCAGAACTCCGTTTTAGCCCCGATCATGGTAGCCTGGCGGGTCCTAGCCATGAAGATTATAACTTGTGGAATGTAGTTCGGCTGAACACTTTCCATGGAAATAGCAATAGACCAGCGAGAGGCTTGAATTTTACAGGAATTTTATCAACCACATTCATATTTGACCTGATGTGCTAGTATTAAAAATCCTGTTAGCAGCAGCTAGTTTTTCATCGTTCTGACTATGCGTAAAATAACTGGAGCAAGAGTAGTGTGAATTTCAAGTGATTCGCCTTTTTCGTCCAGAAAATCGCTGACTAGGCAGGACACGGATCTTTGTGCCACCAGAACAGAAGGTATGGCATGGTAACGACACTCACTTAATGTTTCACTCAACAATAAAGTTAAATTTAGGCAACATTCATTTCTACGGAAGGGATCCTATTTCTTCATTTTTTTGCTCAGGATGAATCTCATTCATGATTAATCTAGTAGCTTTGAAATGTGCTTTTCGTTTTTGGTCTTTGTCCCGAGTCAAAGGTCTAATATTGTCCCAAGAGGGTACTGGATACCATTCAACCAACGAAGTAGATTTTGAAAGAAAGTGACAAGACTTTACTTCAATGGCGTTTCTAAAGGACGAAAAATAACTTTGATGGATCTTAACTGATATATATATATATATATATATATATATATATATATATATATATATATATATATATATATATAATTAATTCATCGAGTCTGATAGAAACCCCAACAGAAAGCACTGGACGGCCGTTTCGTTCTATATTTTGAACTCATCACCAGTGCGCATCCACTACCGAGAATTAGAAACCCTGACAGTTAGGTTCTCATACAAACAGCATACCAACTGTTCTAACGGGCCTCGGTGACGAAAAGATTGCAAATCAGACTCAATACAGCGCCGCTCTCTCACATATTCCGTGGTGGAACTCTACTGAGTTCTCTGTAACCATAGGACTGTGCCCCTTGAAGCCACGACTACTCTCACCAAGTCGTTCACTCTAGAGAATTAGAAGCTATATATATATATATATATATATATATATATATATATATATGAATATATATATATATGAATAAAAAGTCAAGAGGAAAAAATATTTTTAGCCGCGCGTTTCCTTCTCTTGTAGGATTTATTTTTGTTGCACTTGTTTATATACAAAAACAAGGATGTCATTGGTTTATCAAAGCTTTTAAATTTGATCAGGTGGTTGAATGGTCAGTCAAAATGTGTGCCATAATCAGTGCCATAATTCAAAGTCTTAAGGCAAAAATAAGCGAGGAATATTCAAGCAGCATATTGTACATCACGATCACGGGACCCATGACTCATTAGGGTTCTAGATTTATTTTCAAGTCACGGCTATAGAACCCAGTCTATCCTACTATTTTCCCAATAGCTGGAGGGAAAAGAGATGGATTCATACCTTTTCCCAAGGATATTGGGAGGTAAGTGGATGTAATGGATCCGGCTGAAATTCGAACTTGGCTCTGCGATTCCTACAGCACATAATATATAATATCCGCGAACATCAGACGGCATCGGATTTTTGATATTATTGTATTAATAATATTATTATAATATCAAAGCTTTGTCGACTTTGGCAGTGAGCCATCAGTTTATTTTAGATTTTAAGCTTTTAGCTTATTTTCAGCTTTAGCTTATTTTCAGGTTTAGCTTTTACTCTTATATATATATATATATATATATAGATAGATAGATAGATAGAATCTATCTTTCCATCTCAGACTGTTCATATCTCATTCTGTCAACCTGTCTGTCTGTTCATATCTATCTATCTATCTATCTATCTATCTATCTATCTATCTATCTATCTATCTTATTCTATACATCTCTCTCTCTCTCTGTATATATATATATATATATATATATCTATATATATATATATATATATATATATATATATATATATATATATATATATATATATATATATATATATATATATATATATATATATATATATATATATATATATATATATATATATATATATATATATATATATATATAATGTAAAAGAGGGCTTGATATGTATCAAGCCCTCTTTTACATTAAATATTACGAACTTTGAAGTGTACTCTGCCTGTTCTTATCGTACCTGGATATATATATGTATATATATATATATATATATATATATATATATATATATATATATATATATATATACAGAAAAGAGAGAGAGTGAGAGATGAATAGAATAAGATAGATAGATAGATAGATACATAGAACTGATCGGAGTGCAAGAAAGAAAGAAAGAAAGAAAGAAAGAAAAATAATAGATAAATAGATAGATAGATATGAACAGACAGACAGGCTGACAGAATGAGATATGAACAGTCTGAGATGGAAAGATATGTGTTGAAACATGACTGCAATTGTGTAGCGATTTGTACATATTTTTGTTGTAATATCCTAAAATAAATAAATAAATAAATAAATAAATATATATATATATATGTTTGTGTGGGAGCGTGTGTGTGTGTGATAGTCTCGGCGTATGTGAAAAGATTACAAAAATGTTCGCCCTTGTTAATATGCTATAAACTTCGTCGTTTTGTTCTTTTCGTTTTGTTTATAGCTTGCTCGTTGGCCAACATCAAACGGGGAGTAATGACTGTGAGAGAGCTTCAATCAAAGCCGACTGGTAGCGACACCTGCTCCACCCAGCAGGGAATAAAAGGGAGGAAACTAGATGCAACCTAGTCGACTGAATGAGATGCACACAGAAAGTAACACATAAACAAAAGATAGAATCAATATGGCACATGGAAACATACACAGACACTCTCTATCTTTTCATCTCAGACTGTCATATCTCACTCAGTCTATTTCATGCTGTTCGTATCTATCTATCTATCTATCTATCTATCTATCTATCTATCTATCTATCCCAGTCTCTTCAAGTCTATGTATTTCTCTCTCTCTCTCTCTATCCCAGTCTCTTCAAGTCTATGTATCTCTCTCTCTCTCTCTCTCTATCTATCTATCTATCTATCTCAATCTGTTTACGTCCATGCATCTGTCTGTCATATCTATCTATCTATCTATCTATCTATCTATCTATCTATCTATCTATCTATCTATCTCAGCCTGTTCCCGTCTATGTGTATGCCTGTCTGTCTGTTTGTCTATCTATCTATCTATCTATCTATCTTTTTTTACTCCGATCAGATCTTTCTTTCTTTCTTTCTTTCTTTCTTTCTTTCTTTCTTTCTTTTACACTGAACAAATCTATCTATCTATCTATCTATCTATCTATCTATCTATCTATCTATCTATCTACCACTGAAATCCCGTAAAATTCTTGTCAACTAATAAATGTCTTTTATTCTAAATGTCTTTTATTCAGGACACCATCGAAACTAATGAACTAACATATAAAGGTCGAAAGTTTTACTGATAAAAGGAAGGAATATATTAAACAATGCCATTGTTACCAGACATGAACAGTGACTCTATAATTTACTGTTTATAATGTGTTAGCATGCTTGCTTATCTGAAAACACTGACGTATTGTTTGAGAGAAATGTAAACTTAAAAATAGAAACGTGAAATTTAACATCAAGACTGAGAGCAGAAGCTGAATTTATACATATATTCGCACATGTACGTACCTGCGCTGCGTGTGGAAGACAAAATTGCCCCATAGATAAAACTTGCCCATTATATCCTACAGTCAAATTAACCAAATCAGGACAAGTTCTATTTGTAGGGAATAACTGGCAAGTTGTATCTGTAGGACATAATTTGGTTTAGCGATTAATTGGAAAGTTGTACCTGTAGTGTCTATTTGGCTAATTTGACTTTAGGATTATTGGAATGTTCTTTCTGTATGGCGTAATTATCTAATATGGCTGTAGGTATTGGTAATTTCTAACTCTAGGGCATTATTTGACTGTAGCGATTAATTGGCAGTCCGTGTCTGTTGGGTATAATTGTCTAATTTGACTGTAGGGTATAATTTGCAAGTTGTATTTGTAGGGCATAATTAGATAATCTGATTGTAGCGATTAATAAACATTTTCTGTCTGTAGGGCATAATTGACTAATTTGACTGTAGGTCATAATTGTTATATTGTATCTTTATGGCATAATTGGCTAATTTGACTTTGTATCTGTAGGGCATAATTGGCAAGTTGTATGTGCAGGGAATAACTGGTTAATAAGACTGTAGGGCATAATTGGCTAATTTGATTGTAGCGATTAATCGGTAGTTTATGTCTGAAGGACATAATTGGCTAATTTGACTGTATGACATAATTGACAAGATATATATGTAAAACATAATTGGTTAATTTTTTGTAGCGATTAATTGGCACATTTTATATGTAGGGCATAATTGGATAATTTGACTGTAGGAATTAATTGGCAAGTTGTATCTATAGTGTATAATTGCCTAATTTGATTGTAGTGCACAATTGGCTAATTTGACGTTAGCGATTAAATGTCAAGTTGTATCTGTAGGGCATAATTGTCCAATTGTAGGGATTATTTGGTATGTTGTATCTATAAGACGTAATTGAGTAATTTTTTGTAAGGCATAATTGGCTAATTTGAATGTCGGTATTAATTGGCTAGTTGTATGTTTATTAATGTTTAATTGTCAAGTATGTTTCTTAGCGATTAATTGGCAAGTTCTTAATCTTAAATATCTCAAGACATCACACGTGGAATTATATCAATCTTCATTTGTGGACTAAATTCCAACAAATATCACTTGAAGAAGGCCGGAGTGTACAACGGCCGAAACGTCATGAATATAGCAATAAAGATGAACCCAACTATCCGAACAATGTAAGTAGTTTAAATAGTCTGAGATAGATAATAAAGGTAATATTATATGGCAGATAATTCATTGAGCAACCCTCTTCCAAAATTATTCTTGACTTTTTTATTATGTGATCTTTAGTATAAAATAATTGTTAACAAGTCACCGAGCTTATTAATGTGGTTAAATGGCGGTGAAGGTTGTGTTCATGTGACATATGTTTCATCTGCTCGTCCGCCTAAGCATGTTACTGTTCACGGACCGCTACTTTGAGCTCGTTCGAGGTCATTTTGGTTTGAAGAGCATTTGGATGCACTTGATCAATAGTGTGCCCGAAATGAGCCCAATCAAATAGATCTTACATGGTGAAGAGGTATACTCGCATGCAAGTTCCTGCTAATACAAATAACTGGAAGGTGTAGGCAGCAATGTCAGATCACTTTACGAGTATTACTGGTAGCAGATAACTAAGTATACATGCCGCACGGCCGGATCAGCGTCAATTAAAACGGTTTCCCCACCAAGCTTTTTGGTGAGAAAGGTGGGTAGACACCCAGCAAGACTAAAATAAATCCATCTTAAAGGGTGGACGAATATTACCCATATGGAATCGGCGGTTACCTATCTGTGACCAAAAGGAGCCTTCAAGTTGGAGGATATCGGCTGTGTTTTGAGCCGAAGAAGGATGGCCTCCCTCCGATCTACTCAACCAATACGCACTAGACGAATGAATACCGCTTCATCTTTCAGCCCAGATATATGGAAGGAACAGTTCAGGTGCTCCTCTGCGCAGTGACCCTACGACCACACCTGGTCGTGGGACTGACTATGATGATTTATATAAAAGCATTGCCTTTTCTGCTAATTACCGTAATTCCCTATGTATAATACGCATTTTTTTCTAAAAACAAAACAAAAAGCAAAATCACGGGTGCGTATTATGCACAGCTACAAAAAATATTTAAAAAAATGTTGTTTCATAAGTCGATTTCAGTAGCGAAATGACTACTCACCACAAACATACGACAATTTGACACTAACATTCGACGATTACGATTCCATAAAGATGTCAAATATAATCATATGTACCTAATAATACTTACAAATGAAAAATAAAATAGGAATTATTATAAAACTAAATTAGAATAATATTATTCTATGTTTAAAACCATTTTTTAAATAAGAGTAGAAAACGCTGGCCGTAATGAAGTTGAAGAGGTACAATTTGATTACCAAACAAGGGGTGTGTATTATGCATGATTAGAAGCATTTTCCCACACTTTCAGCACGATTTTAGGGGTGCGTATTATGGATGAAGGCGTAATATACACAGAAAATTACGGTATATATTTAGAGATTCTTGAGAAAATCCAGAAAAGAATCTGCAATAATATTGGTCATGTTCTGCCCTCTCGGTTTCAGTCAATTTCCCATCGCCGTAACGTAGCTTCCCTGTACCTTTTCAATAAATACTTTCATGGTAATTGTTCTGATGAGGTTTACCCTATGATAACTGAACTTTATTAATTTTAGCGTACTACTAGATTGGCGGCAAGATCCAATTATCTTCAAGTAGAAATGGCTTTATGCAACCATCAGTTTCATGCTAACAGTTTGTTCTCTTGATTGTGGAACTCTCCTCTTGCTTCTTATTCAACATTAATCTTTAAAAATTTAAATGCGACATTAATCATTATCTTCTTCCTTTTATTGATCTCTTTGTTCTTCATATTGTTTTTTGTTTGTTTCTCATCTTTTATCACACTCTGTAAACCCCTGCGTCTTAGTGGCTTTATGAACTTACTTGGGGTGAAATGATTAAATAAAAACTGCCCATGACTTTTAGAACGCCAGTATGAAATCATTGCCTTTTCTGCTAATTAAATGAAAACAAAAATTTCTTTTAGACACACAATGCTAATAAGAACGTAGTTGCTTTACGCCTTGTTAGCGGCATTTATTTACTAAATCTAGTTTAGTTTAGCACAAGGTCCCTGTAGCAATGGCATACGAATCTGATGCATTACCCAACGGCACCCGTGTTGGGAATTGCATGCAGCGAACGTTTCTTGCATTCTTCTCGATGAGTAATTAAAAAGTAGAATGTCGGTAGCCAGTACCGGGCGGTTTTGTTTTGATCTTTCTAAAAGCGGCGATAATTAAAATTTTGTTGCCAAAGAACAGAAGACCTGGGAAAATATATAAATTACCTAGGGTATATACTAAAACATATCTGCGCATCAGTTTTCATTTTTACATACACGCACCAAGGCGCTTGCTATAGTTAACAGGCTATTAAGCTGAGCCGTAAGTAATTTCCACTTTTGGGAACCATTTCTAATAACAAATGTGTCAGTTTAACCAACGGCTTCTTAAATAGCGATAAAGAGTGGGTGGCATACAACAATGTTCAACTCAAAAAGCAGTGGATAGAAATGGATCGTTCTATTTTGTGGAATAGACTTCCGCGTGGGTGCTTCCCTGAACACGACACTCTTACTCTCTTCAAGTCAAAGGTTAATTTTGATCTATTCTCCTTATCCACATATTCTTCACTTCCTTTCACCTCCTCTTAAATTTATATCAACCAGTGGCTTCCGTCCACATTATGTTGAAACACAGGTTCCCGTATGATCACCAAGTTAAGAAACGTTGAGCCTGGTCAATACATAGATGGGTTACCGCTTGGGAATGCCAAGTGCTGTAACCTTATATGTGCGGATGGTGTAATGGTTAATGAGTCGTAATTGTTAAACGGAGAGCCGAGTTCCAATTCCAGTTGGGTTCGTTATGTAAACTTAGGCACCCTCCCATCTATAGGATAATTAGTAAGAAAAAGTGTACAAATATTTACTTAAATAATCCACAGAGGCTGATGTGCTGCTAAACAAAAACAATAAAACATGTCACCCATTTTAATCAACAATCATCTAACATGAGTGACCCTCAAAAGTTATTTTGGGTGAACTTTAGTATAAAAAAATAAAATAAAGCAAAAAACAAAATATAGAAAAATGGATATTTTAGATTTTCTTAATCTCAGTATTCATGTGTGGTAATAATCCATTAAATGCACATTTATACTTCCGGCAACTGCAACGTGTAGCTAAAAGTTTAGCCAAAAAGCGCCTTGAGCTCATCAATTGGAAAATATCGTTCTCTTCCATGACAAAGCAAAACCAGATACAACACGAATTACACAAGAAAAACAGGAATCGGTTGGCCTGTTCTGTCCCGACCGCTATATTCACCTGACTCGGTACCAACTGATTCTTACCTTTTTCCATCACTTTAAAACGTTTTGATCCGGAAAACTTTATCTCATGAAGACCAGTCGAAAACGTATTGATCTCAAAACCTACACAATCTTACTCAAAAGGTATTGAAGAGCTGCCCGATAAATGGCAATAAGTCCTTGGAAATAATAATGAATTTCCAATGGAATAAAAATGCAATAGGAATTTATTTTTGAAGAATAAATTTAAAAAATGAAAATTATCTATGTCTTCTTCTACCTTAGGTCTTTGCTTGGGACCCGGAAGGAAATGAATATACACCAGAAATCAAAGGAAATACAATAATAATAATATTGTCTAGAATTATTTATGACTCAATTCTGTGGAACATATCGTGATCTGAAATCAAATCTCAAATGGCGTCACATTATTTTACTCTACTGACGGGCTAAGTTAATGTTAATAAATTTCAATTTGAGGCCTGCTGAAGTGGGTTGATTATTATTAATATTAATAGTATAAAAAGATTGATGTAAACTCTTCTAATATTTTTCAACAGTTAAGAGAAGAGCACGATTTAAGAAAAGGAACAAAACAGTGTAATAAAATACGTACTTGACAAGCTTGGTTTGGTTTGGTTTATTTTGTTTTACGGCATATCAACCTCAATGGGTTATTTAATGCCGACAACATTTTTAGGGTAGATTCATATGAATAGAATATGTATTCTTTGGTTTAGAATGGTTTGGTTTATTTTGTTTTACGGCATATCAACTTCAATGGGTTATTTAATGCTGACAACATTTTTAGGATATATTCATATAAATAGAATATGTATTCTTTGGTTGAGATTGGTTTGGTTTATTTTGTTTTATGGCATATCAACCTCAATGGGTTATTTAATCCTGACAAAAAATTTTATTGCTGGTAATATTTTGTTTTGTCAAAAATCTGTTTCTGGTAATATATTTCCTTCAAAATTGTATTGCTGGTAATAATTCTTTTCAAAAAGTATTGCTGGTAAGAGTTAACTATTTGACCATAGCTGGGACCCTAACAGGTGTTACCACCCCGGGTCAGGGTGGACCTGGGAACACCAGCAATTAAGAGGTGGTTCCACACCCCTCAAAACCTCCTGATCAGAGGCCTTGCTGCTGGATGTAGTTTAATGTCTTACCCAGGACGCGGATGCAGTTTAACGTCTTACCCAGGTAGGGTTAACAAGTTTTGGCCCAGGCGGATGTAGTTTTCCCCATTTGTGTCTTTCTGGCTTTTGCTACTCGCCAGGTGACAAATCCCGTGAATACCCTACACCCGGATCTTATTATCAGTTCATCACAATTGTATCAGTGACTCACTGAATCACGTGAAACGTTGCCAGGCGATATGTCCCGTGTTGTAGAATTAAAAGACTTAACTGATCTACTGGATATGTGCCTTAACAAAACAAGTCTTTATCTTACTTGAATTTCTCAAAATCATTTTTTATCTTACAATAGAGTCTCTGGGTGATTTGTTTTTAGCCAGTCAGGGGCGTTTCTAAAAATAAATATCCCATCCCTTAAAAACTTGATCCTACCATATTTTCTTTTCTTCCCCGATGTCGTAAAAGGCTAAATTTAGAATAATAATGTCTTATTTACGCATCTAAGTGGCAGTCAGTTATGTGCCATACGTGATACACGCTTAGGCGATCATGTATCATTCGATACATGACTGTCGATGCAGAATTATTTTCGCGCAGTAGGCTGCCATTTCTTTCTGCGGTAGACCAGTTGCCGTCCAAGGCTATAGAGCCCGGTCTGTCCTACTATTTGCCCATAGCTGGGGAGAAGAAGAAAAGCATACATACCTTTCCCAAGGGTATTAGCACGTAAGTGAATATCAGTCAGTTATGTGCTATGTGTGATAAATGCTTAGGCGATCATGTATCTTTCGATACATGACTGACGTGGCAGAATTTTTTTTCCGCGCAGTGGGTTGCCATTTCTTTCTGCGATAGACCAGTTGTCATCTAAGGCTATAGAACCCGGTCTGTCCTGCTATTTACTCATACCTGGGAGAGAAGAAGCGTATTAGCACGTAAGTGAATGTAATGGATTTGATTGTAGTCTGCTCTCCGATTCCTCAATCCGAGTCGTTATCCATTACTCCACCCAAACATGTTTAAAAAATGGCTTTGAAACTTGTGGGTCTTAGCAAAGACCACACTTCTTCAAGCATTGTGGACTGGCGCTACAGAATCACAAACAATGAATGTCCCAAATAACAGAAACCACATCGCTTGATGGCTTTCAACAGCAGCAACAACTACAGTATGCATCACTTGTAAGTCGAAGATAAAGTAATGGCATAATCAAGATCTCGACATTCCACACTACTTCAAACAAAAGATTAGGAAGGAAACCCCCATCAATACTGGAAAGACTGATAATAGCTACTGGCCCTTGAGAAAAGTATTTTCTTGAAAAATTGTTTTAACAGAAAGATTTTATAAATTTCAACCGACAGAAGCAATGGCTGTTCGGTCAATAAACGTTAAATATTTCCTTATAAGGAAACGGCTAATATTAGCATTACCATTTTATCTAGAATATACCCTACAGTTGCGCAACTTGCCAATCAATATTTGCACATAATTCACCAATTATGCTCTTTATTTACTAATTAACCCTGCATACAAATATACTAATTATCTCATACAGTTACGCAACTTGACAATTATATCCTACAGTCATACAACGTACCAATTAAGCCCTAAAGTCACACAACTTGTCCATTAACGCTTACAGTCCATTTACTAATTATGCCCAATCGTGACAAAACTTATAAATCGGATTTACTAATTAGGCCATACAGTCACATAATTATGCAAACTGTTGAATGTCGTTTTGAACTTGATGAAGTTAACCACAAGAGGCTGCTAGCTCTGTTTGGTGATGTGACGGAGTGTAAGGATTTCATCACCGTTCCCGGCTTGTTACCCACGTAGGGGATCATCAACCAGCGTCTTCAGTTGGTTTAGCAATACACGGTAAAAGACTTTGCCATGAACAGACAGCAGTTATTGTAGTCACTAAGGGCTCCTTCCTTACGCAGTGTGACACTCACTCCCTCTCCTCTGTCCTCCATAACCGCTTCATCCTCGTCCTGGGTTTGACGATAAACTACATCCGGCAGCAAGGCTTCTGATCTGGAGGTTTTGAGGAGGGTAGAACCATCTCTTAATTGCTGTTGTTCCGAGGTCCACCTTAACCCGGGTTGGTAGCACTTAATTGGCACCCAACTATGGAAAAATATGAAAACCTTGAACAAAAACAAAACTTTATGAAAGTAAAAAAATATATTTTATAGTAAAAATACCAGTAATATATTTTTATATAAAAAGAATTATCAATAATACCTATTTATAGTAAAATTAGCAACAATACAATTTTATTGTAAAATGACTAACAATACATTTTATATGTAGTTGAAGGCATACAATTGCATTCAAAATATTTAGATTTCGAGATTAAATCAAACATAGAGGTTAAGATGCCACTAAAGAAAAATCAACCAGCCAACTCTCCCAGAAACTGTAACTAAGATCCGCTCAACATAGTTGCAGTATAAGCCACAGGTGGGCTCTGTGGGTGTTGAACAAACACAAATTGCCTGAGCATGCGTCTGCAACAAGGATGTGCTTGACGTTCTAGTAAACTAGCATCCTCAGATATGAGCGGCCAGCTATAAGATTGAGCGTGTGTTGGTTGAGTGCATCACTGTTGGATATACTAACTGCTCGGCAGCGGACAGAAGGACCCTCTAGTGCAGTGGTTCTCAACCGGGGTCTACATGGACCCTAGGGGTCCATGTAATATTTCCGGGGGTCCACAGTTGTTGTGTTAATTAAAAATAGTAATAATAATTATTATTATAATTATAGTAGAATATTTTATTTGTATTAAATTAGTTTTCATTTAAAAATAAAGCTTAATCGTATACTATTTCTTTGACAATTAAAACCTTAAAATTTATATTAGTGAAGAATAGAAAATTGTTCTTATGTCCAATAGCTATGAAGGGGTCCACCAAGATAAAAAGAAGGGGAAAGGGGTCCATGGGTAAAAAAAGGTTGAGAACCACTGCTCTAGTGGGTTATAAATGTTGCCCCCAAAATAATCGGTTACTTGCTGCTCTCCTTGGAGGACATTTCTATTTCTCGCTGTCGCAACAGAGTAAAACACATAAGGAAAAACAGCACATGGAAGCACCTCTTAATTGCTTTTATTCTCAGGTTCACCCTGACCCGGGGTGGTAGCACCTGGTATGGTTTCAAATATGGCTAAATAGTTAACTCCAAGACAGTGGGGTCAAAACACTATGAGCGTGTAAAAACAGATTTTTATAGTAAAATATCAGTAATACATTTTGAAGAAGAAAATATTACCAGCAATACATTTTTGAAAAATATTAATATAGGTTCGTT